GATGGGGGACAGTGTAGAGAGAGCTTTACTCTGTATCTAACCCCGTGGTGTCCCTGATTGCTAGTTCCTCTCTCAAATGGACAGCTAAATTTTGCTTCACTCTGGAATCAGCATACTCAAACAAATCTTGTTTTTTTTACCTCGTGTGATTTGGAAGTCTGAGCCACAAATCCTCCCCCATGAAAATGAACAATGAGAAACTTGGACCGTGGAGCTTTCTTTGTTTTCAGACGCATGTCAAGACCCAGCTGTGCCTCAGGTTTGCAGAGTTCATTCAACTCATCACTATCCTAATGTCAAGACAGAACTCAAAAGGTTAGGGAATAAAACACAGGATGGGATTACGCACTTATCAGCAACTTCACAGCTTCACATCTGACAGGAAACATGGCATTCCCACATTGAAACAGTGATCAGGTTTCTCAAAGGGACATCATCAGGCTACAGTACAAAGAGACCATGGGACTGCAGTACCATGAGTCTACCCCTGGGGGTCACTTTGAGACTGTAGTACCAGTGGTCTACCCTCCAAGGGTCACAGTGAGACTGCAGTACTAGGAGTCCACCCCAGGGGTCACTATGAGACTGTAGTACCAGGGTAACACCGGTGGCTCCGTGGTTATCACTGCTGCCTCACAGCGCCAGGGACCCGGGTTTGATTCCAGCCTCGGGCGACTGTCTGTGTGGAGTTTGCACGTTCTCCCTGTGTCTGTGTGGGTTTCCTCCGGGTACTCCCACAGTCCAAAGATGTGCGGGTAGGTGGACTGGCCATGCTAAATTGCCCATAGTGCACAGGGATGTTTAGGTTAGGTGAGTTAGACATGGGAAACATAGGGCAACAGGTCTGGGTGGGATGCTCTTTGGAGGGGTGGTGTGGACCTGTTGGGCCGAATAGCCTGTTTCCACACTGTAGGGATTCCATGATCCGATAACGTGCTCACACTGGCATCCTCCGCTCCTTGGCCCACAGCCCCCGGGGCACTTTACCTGTCCGTCTCGTAGCTCGTAGGAGATCAGCCTCATCTGCACCGGTCCTGGGCCAGAGTGAGCCACTGGAGGGCTAATGTCCACCATCAGACTGGGGTCAGCCTGCATCGGCATCTTGAAGGGGTTGGGCGGGACGGAGAGAGTCTTGTTCACGCGCACGGTGGTCGATGTCAGAGTCACCAGAGACTGGCAGAAAGAGAAAGGATGTGGAGCTCAGTTGGTGAATGTGGGAGAATGTGGGGGTTGTAGAGGTCGTGGGGAGGATGTGGGGGTCGTGGGCAAGTTCAGGGAGCCAAGAATGGGGATAACGTGGAGGGGGACAGCTCGTGGATAACGCAGAACCTCATTCCCTCTTCCCTGTGAGTTTACATCAGGGCTTTTTGTTCTAAACACCATTCATTGAAATGTGGGTGTTGCTGGACAGGCTAGCATTTGTTGCCCCTTGAGGAGGTGGTGGTGAACTGCCACAGTCCTTGGTTTAGTGATGCCCTCCAGTATTTTGATCTAGCAACACTGAGGGAATAGCAATACATTTCCAGGCCAGGATGGTGAGTGGCTTGGAGGGGAACTTGCAGGGGGTGGTGTTCCTATGTACTTGTGGCTCTTGTCCTTCCAGCTGGAAGTGATTGTGGGCTTGGAAGGTGCCGTCTTTTTGTTTTAGAAACTTCATTCGTGGGATGAGGGCATCGCTAGCTAGGCCAGCATTTATTGTCTGTCCCGAATTGCCCAGGGGGCAGTTAGGAGTCAACCACATTGCCGTGGGTCTGAAGTGACAATCAGGTACCAGACAAGGTGAGGATGGCAGATTTCCTTCCCTAAAAGGGCTTAGTGAGACAGATAGGTTTAATGGACAATCAACAACTGCATGGTTATCATTAGACTCTTAATCCCAGATGTGTATTGACTTCCACCATGTGAGCATCGAACCTGGATCCCCAGAACATTACCTGGGTCTCTAGATGAACAGTCCAGCGATAATAGCACTCGGCTGTCACCCTACAACCCTTACGGAGCATTGGTGAGTTGTAGGTGGCACACACTGTGTGGGCAGTGGAGGGAATGGGAGTGTGTGGACGTGGTGCCCATCCTAGGGGCCGTGTGCGTTCTAACGATGTCTGCCCACCCAGTCCCTGTACCCTCCCCCCCTCCCCTCCCCAAGGGCTGGGGGTGGGGGATCCTTGCCTCTGAGCTGTCCCCCAGCGTGGCCAGGGCAGATGGTGGGGGTGGGGACAGGGAAGGGAATCTCCGGTCCTTACCGCCAGCACCTCGGTTTCGGTGATGTTCCAGAAGCTCTTCCAGAAGTGGACGTCCAGGTTCTGGGTGAGTCGCTCGAACTCGGAGCCCCGCAGTTCGGGATCGATGGCATACTTGCCGCTGGTGAAGATGGAAGTGGCGGCCACGCCTGTGGTGGATGGGGGGTGGGGGTTGGGGAGGAAATCAGTCCGACAGCGTCAGTGGGAGGGGAGCGTCACGGAACCCGCCCCCGCCCCCCACCCCTGAGCCACCCCCGCTCCTACATTGCGACTCCCTTCACACCCACCACCCGAGCCCACCGGGAAAGCGGCACTGCAGCAAAGCAGGAAACGTGGCAAGCCAATGGTGAGCACAGCAAATTCCCACAGGAATGATACAATACAGACTGGGGTCGCCCAGCCCATCTTGTCCGTGCTGACCCTGATGCCTTTTCTAACGCCATCTCCCTAAACACAGCTTGCAGCACGTAAGGTGAAGATCCAGGGGCTTTTAGTGACAGGAGTTCAGGGTCTCCGCCTCGACCACAGGCTCAGGCAGTGAATTTCAGAAATCCGTCACCCTTGGTGTGAAAAGAACTGTTTATCCTTGTGTTCCCTCTAATCCTTCCGCAGCTTCGCTTGAATCTATGAAGCGTGAACTCTCTGCCAAGGGAAGCAGGTTCCTCCTGTCTCACTCTATCTCGACCTCTCACTGCTCTGTAAGCGTATCAGGACAGCGAGAGGAGGCAATCTGCGCTGGCCCTGTTTCCCGGCAACGATTGGGCCCTTCACCGACCAGGCGGCCCCCTACAACAGCACAGCACCACCCCACACCCCTTCCCTGCTGCTCCCCAAACCATAGCACTGTGTTTCGGCCCAGATCTCCCCAGCTCATAACAGAAAGGACTGGGAGTAACCATCCTGGGCGTCACATCTTCCCTAATCCCTGGCAAGTACCAATGCCCCCACCCCTCCTCCATCCCTCGGAGGGCAATACTGTTCCCTTCCCTTCCCCGTAGGGGCTGAATATCACTGAGGAGTTGGAAGTGTAGCAGGAGGATTAAGGAACAGCCACGGATGCTAGACTCTGGTGGGAGTTGAGCAGGGCCAGACGGCTGTGATAAAGTTGCTACATTTTCCTGTGAACGTCTGCTAAAACAATTCTGGCATTTATCGCAAAAGGACTGGAATATAAAACGAAAGTAGCATTGTTACAATTATATGAGGCCTTGCTGGGGCCACATCTGGAATATTGTGTCCAGTTTTGGTCTTCTTACTGGAGAAACGATGTGGTGGCACTGGAGGCAGTTTAGAAGAGGTTCACCAGATTAGTCCCAGTGATGACAGGGCTGTCATACAAGGAGCAGTTGAATAGCTTGGGCTTGTATTCATTGCAATTCAGAACAATGAGGGCATTGGGGTGGGGGGGGGGGGATCTAACTCAGGTAGATAAGATCCTAACGGGGATTGATAAGGTGGATGTTGAGCAAATGCTCCCCCTTTTTGGAACAGTCTCAAACAACAGTTCATAAATATGGAGTGACAGGAGGTAGGTTCAAAACTGAGATGAACAGAAACTGCTTCTCTCAGAGGGTTGCGAATCTGTGGACCCACTGTCCCAGAGTGCAGTGGAGACAGAATCAGTCAACAGGAAAGAAATAGGAATGTTTCTGACGAAAAGAGGGATAAAGGGATATGGGGAGCAGGCAGGAAAGTGGAGATAGACCAGGATAAAATCAGCCATGATTTTGTTAAATGGTGGAGCGTGCTCGAGGGTCTGAATTTCAAACTCCCGTTCTTAATTCCTATATAACACAAAACGGGTACAATGGAAGGTTTTAATTCTCCCACAGAGCAGCAGGAGGAAGAGGAGGAGGTGATCAAGCTGGAAAGGCAGTGAATTTCAAGTGTGCATTCCAGGCAGTTTCCTGCAGCATTGTGCCTTGGAACACAGGAAGTGGATTTGCTGAGATAGTAGGAACTGCAGATGCTGGAGAATCTGAGATAACAAGGTGTAGAGCCGGATAAACACAGCAGGCCAAGCAGCATCAGAGGAGCAGGAAGGCTGACGTTTCGGACCTAGACCCTTCTTCAGAAT